CGAAAAGCATAGCAGCCATGTTATGGGATGGGGAAACCACCTCACCGGAGGATCTGGAAAGGGAGCTCCGCAGGTTGCTAGAGCCCGAGTGTAAGGCGATACGGAAGTCGCTGGATCTCATAAGATGAGTTAGCAGACATGGTTTTGCAAGAAGGCGTCAGAAGCACATGCGAAACACATTGAAGAACTGGGAAATATTTTCGAACAGGCACAGCATGATGACAAATGCATGCGCACGCTATCGAAAATGCTGAACGTTAAGTCCACAGAGGTGGTTAGAGCAGGTAGGTAATCTGATCGAACCGAAGCAAACAGCCGGTATCGAACAAGTCCCTATAACTAGTCGAAAGCTCTTGCCATCTAAGGACACCACTGCTCTTCGACATCCCCAAGTCCGCACAAACGTATCTTTTGCAGGCTCCTACGACCGCAGAGAACGCGACTCCAATGGAGACAGATCACAGCGAGTCGCACCAGAACGAATTCCGCAGGGCATTTCGCCTGCTCAATGCCAACGACATATCTCAAGATGCGGCACTACCACCCATTGAGTTTGATGCTGTCAGTGCAGCTCAAGGTAGGCGTTTATCGAGGCAAGGCAGTTTCCCTGATAGGCAGCTCAATCAGCAAGATTCATTGCAGAGGAACGCTGTCGAGAACGAGCTCCAACAAGCTATGGTGCCACCCACGCCAATACGGGACAACCACCAAAGAGGTTGGTCTCCAGTTTATAGCGAAATGAGTTCGCGATTTGATAGTGGGGTAGGAACGGCATTAGCAGCCATGGCACTCCCGGAGGTTAAGGAGTTTAGTGACCCAGATGGTGAAGGGTTTCACTGAGTTTGTGAGGTCGTTTTCGATGAAGTATGGCAGGATTGGTCTCCCTGACGATATGCTTATCCACCTGATGAGTGAAAAGCTGGAAGGGTACCCAAAAGCTGTCATGAAAACGCTCCCAATGGAAACCAAGCAGGGTGTGCGGAAAAGGCACCGCACCATTAGCCCGCCGATAGGCGGATTAACTGTAAATATTTGTAAAAAAAATACCATTATGCTCACATAACTGTACATGTATAATATGTGCCTTGTATCCTGGCATAATGCCACTTGTATAACCATAAGCCTTGTTTTGGTGTTATGCCCTTTGGGAGTCGTCCCACATTTCGTCATAACTTGTTATTGTACTCTACCGGATCTCCGTCTGGATCTCTCGAATTAGAGATCTCTCAAATATCTTCTTACACATTCTACGATTCATCACTTATGATAGCCTCACAATTTTGGTTTAGTTTCGATCGCAATAAACGATTCAGTTAATCAAGTTATCAAGTGTACTCAGTCTGGACGGTCAAGTCCTATATTACCTGTGCTCATTGATTCGTCTAATCTTACCTTGCCTTTTCAGCTTTAAAGTTTACTTGCAGTTGTGGTACCGACAACCGAACCTGCAACGACTCCGCCCCCCTTCGGTCTGGGTGGAAGAAGATTATTCGAAGTCAATCGATCTATATTCGGAGTGGCCTAAAGCCAAACAGAAGACTCCGGCAGTTAGCCCACAAGCGGGTAATCAAAAAGGATAGAAGACGCCTCCTGAACCACCGGATCAGCACAGGTTGGGATCTCGCCGTCTCATACTATATTTTACACTTTTTAACTTATGGTGCATCGGCTTATAAGAGCCCGCTGCCAGAAAATTCAATAAAAGAATTGAATCTGTTCCGCAATTTCGCAACCACACCCATCGTACCCCACAATATAGTAAGTTCCTTCTTCAAAAGAATACGCCATGTTAAAAACAGCGAAATCCCGTCTCACAAATGCTCGCAATGCCCTGAGAGAAGCAGTCGCAGGAGCTCAGCCAGTGCTTGCGCCAATCGTGATGCCGTCGACCGATGAAACTGAGAACATGGAATATCTGAAGAAGGAAAGGACAGAAATCGAAGCGACAAGAGCGAAGATCCAAGCATTGAAGGATTGCGTCAACGAATCAATGGAGAAGCTACACGTCGCATTCGAAATGCTGGAGGATACGAAGCAAGAAGCAGAATTGAAGTCTTTCGACCAATACCTCCAAGTGGCAGTGGAGAACACGAACGAAGCAGACCAATTCTGCGCAAACTTGATCGGGAAAAGAGCGGGCGTTGAACAAATCATCAAGGACCTCCGATGTGCCGCGTTTCAGTCAACGCGAAACGGAGGAAGAAACAACGCGCTGGAACAATCTTACCACTCCACACCAACTACTCCAGCAATCGCTCCTGCAATGCCGCCGTACTCTACCACGACTTGGAAATACCTAAGTTCGCGGGAAAGAAGGCAGATTGGGAGAACTTCTGGACGATTTTTCTGCAAATATCCACGAGCAAGAAATCAGCCCCATGCTGAAATTCAACTACTTGTGGCAATATTTGGAAGGAGACGCTCGAGAACTCGTCTCGAGGTACCAGGTCTCCGCAGAAAACTATCCAGAAGCAATCGCCTGCCTCAAGAAAAAATACGGGATAGTGATTCAAGAGTGGAAGATATTCTGGCAGATTGCAACGATGCAAAGCGGAAAGAAGAGATACCAAGTCGCAAATCCAATTGCTGGAGAAGATTACAGCTATGATGAGCCAACTGGCAATAAATGGCCAAGAAGTTGACCAACGTCTGCTGTTAAATATCATCTTCAGCAAATTCGATGAGGATATCCAGACACGGACACTTGAAAAACGAGCCGATCTGGAAAATCCAAAGGATTGGACATGGGCAAAAATGCAGAAAGAGCTCAGCGGCATACTCCAAAGAAGGGAATACGTCGAACAAACGCGAAACAAGATAAACGCGATACAGGAAAGCTCAACTAAAAGACCCAGTCAGCCAATCCGTGGCTTCAAACCCACTTGTATCTATTGCAAGCGGTTTGGCCACCAATCTACGGAATGCCGTACAATCAAGGAATCAGAAAGGCTTTCCTTTCTGAAAAAGAACAAGCTTTGCCTCAACTGTGGTAAGCCGTTCCACACAGCAGATGTATGCCGGAACCCTCCATGTCAAAAATGTGGCAAAATGCATCACATCTCGCTCTGTATGGCTCTCAGCAGCCAAAATCAAAGCCAAAATCCTCAAGAAAGCCGTCAAAACGCAACGAACTTCACCCAGCCTGTGCTTCAGCAACGAACACGGCAACCAGCGCAAAATGTTAGGAGGCGCCGTCAAAGAGAATGACGAAAAGCACCCTCACCACCAACCAGAATGCAATCGTCGAACAAGGATTTGACACAAATGTAGGTTCCAAGAGAACGGAGCAAAACGCCACTGGCAATGCCAGCAGAGCAGAAGTCCTACTCTTAACAGGAACCACGACTATTCTGGGCAAAAATGGCTCTAAAGAAGTCAAAATCTTGCTGGATACGGGAGCGGAAGCATCGTTCATCGACAAAAATCTTGTGGAAGAACTACAACTACCGATTGTCAAAACGTCGAAACTTCGTTTGAAGATGTTCGGATCAGACGAAGTGACTGAGAATCGGCACAGAGTAGTCGAAGTCGAGTTACTTGACAAAAATAAAGAGTTTCACACCTTCCACCTACACGACAGTCCCATACTGACGGCCCATGCTAAGAAAGCCAACTTGACGACCTGGAGGAATGCTCGCATGTGTAAACGCGAGAACCGCACACATCCTTCGAGCAAATACCTGAATCAGAACGCACGCCTCCACAGATCGCTAGTAGGTTGGTGACCTATCTCTGAGACTAATGGGCAGCAGAAATAAATGCCTCCCTCGGGACTAATCTTTGGTATCAACCATAGTCGGATACATGCGGTGATATCGGACGGTTCATACGGACATTATACGAAAACAGCGAACATTCTTCAACCCGAAGACATGACGCAAGAGTGGAAAAAATACGATGAATACTGGGGATTCGACTCATCGGGAGTTAACGAGTACACAGGCCCAGAAAAAACCGAGAAGCAACTTGCAGACGAAGAAGTTGCTAAACGGTTCAAGGAAACCATCGAAAAACGTGCAGACGGCTATTATGTCCATTTACCTTGGAAAGAAGGACGTCACCTTCTACCAACTTCTAATAAGTCCATAGCGATCAAGCGACTACAAGGATCTCTACTCCAATTCAGGAAAAAACGAAACTCCTGCAAGAAAATCGCTTGCCGTCATAAAGGATCAAACTTTCACAAAGCATTATTACGCAATTCATGACAACAAGAAGAAAGACAATACAGTTCTCCACTACTTACCTCATCAGGCAGTATTTACTCCAAACAACCAAATACGAAGTTGAGAATTGTATTCGACGCTTCATGTGCATTACGCAGGAAAACCATCTCTGAATGATGCATTGCATCCAGGGCCCCCTCTTTCTGCCTAAAGATTGTGGGATGATGCAACGGTTCAGAATAGGAAGGCAGCCTTATCTGCAGACGTAGAAAAAGCATTTCTACAGGTGCATCTTCACGAAGATGACAGGGATGCAACGAGATTCCTTTGGCTACACGACACTTCCAAACCACCCAACCACGACAATCTCGAAAAATACCGGTTTACAAGGGTCACTTTCGGGTTGAAATGCTTCACCATTCCTCCTTGCCGCGCCAATCAGATTTCATCTGGAAAACGGCGGAGATTGACGAAGAATTTGCCAAGGAACTTAATGACAACCTTTACGTCGATAACCTCCTTATATGTGCGAAATCGACAACGGAAGCCATAACGAAGTACCTCGTACAGCATGCTGTAGAGAGACACCTCCAATGTGGCGGCACGATGGAGCTGTTTCCTCCTCCCTTCGAGTTGAACAGAGAATCAGAATGGAGACTCATCGGGACAGTTTGTAAGAAAATGGCGGAATTTTTGTCCGGACCGGCAAGAGGATTTGAAGCACGAATTGTGGATTTTTATAGCTCCATCGGAGACGATATTCCAATCAAGCATCCCGCAATAAGTCTCGGAATCCAGCCCAGAAAAGGAGAAGATAGATTGATGCCATGGCAATGTAAAATATTTCTCAATCAGATTGCTGACGTCGCCTCCAATGTGCTAGTTCTACCGTCAATTCGAAACCAAGTCAAGCCAACGCAACGTCAACAACACCATCAACAAGGACGCTACCGCAGTCGAAAAAGAAAAAAAAGAAGCATCAAGGATTTCAAGAGTACTATGTCAAGGATGTGAAGCAGAGACGTCAAGAGGTCGCCCACAAAATGGCGAACAAATCGCTTTCGCACGAACAAGCCGTCTGGGTCGGCTTCCCGAAAGGGGGACGTGTAAAGGAAGATCACATCTAATTATTGATCTATGTATATGATGTTGTACTTGTTTACTTGATCGCCCTCCCGCACGATCACACCTTTGTTTGGCGCCCTCAGTAGCACTATATAAGTAGCAGTTGTTAGTTAGTAGTTCGTTACGTCTATCACTACGCCCAGCAGTTATTCTACTAGTTCGTTTCTAGCTACTGAAGCAGCGCCCTACCAAGTAATATTGTACCGGCACGCC